CCTAGTGGGATTTTTAGGCTTTTTTTTACAACTCTCTGCTGTGTCCCCCTCCAATAGAGTAGGAACTCATTAATTCGATAGTATTCTTTTGGCTCACTTCTTGGTTAAAATAAAAATTTATTTACGGTGGAACCACCTTAACTTGATAGCTCATGTGGTCACACTGCTGTTCAAGAAAGAAGTTTGGATAAAGGGTAGATGGAAAGAGTGTAGAGAACAGATCTATGCTGGCTAGGGAAATAGAGCAGCCTTAAAATAGAAGCTTAATGACAAACTTCCTTCAAAGTGACCTCTAGCACAGGGCCACTTGGCAACTCTGATTGCTGCTCTTGAGTGCAGACAGACCTAAATCATTTGCAGGTGCTATCTATTCTCATTTTGCCTATTGGCTTTCATGGGAATTCACACTATAGAGCCTGCAGGACAAACCATTACATCTTTTATAATTATTGGTGCAGAGTCTGTGGGACAAGGTGACTAGGGGAGAATTGGTCCTCTAAAGAGATTGTTCAAAAGAGATGTCTGGGACACAGGGAACTCAGGGGTAGGAATCAGCCTGCAGAACTCATTCAGTCTATAGCTTTTATCATTTAGATAAATTGGAGACTCCAATATTCAAGGTTCCTGACATCTAGCCCATTAACCCGCAATGACTGAGTACTGTTTTCTGCACTCGTGGGTGCTTCTTTCACCTAGATTTCCCCACATCTCATTCTGCTGAATACAGAAAAAGGTCATCCACAATGGGGCTGGAAGGCACTCTGCACACACTCTGCAGTGGCTGGGTCTCTGTTCCCTGCCCAACTGCAGGAAGAGTCAAGAGCACAGGAGATGGGCTTGAAGGAGAACAATGAAAGACTATTTCAAAGCTGGAGGAATTTGCTGCAATATAAGCTTAACTGTAAATGGTAGTGTTGGTGGACTCTGATTTGTGGCAGTGGTGAGTCCAGGTCTGTCAGCAGGTAAGATTGTGAGCTCATTGAGGAAGTAGATCCCAGCTAATTCTCTTGGTCATCCCAATTCTAGCAGAGCATAAGATGTATAGCCAGGGGACAGATGCTCATTGAATAAATACTTTAATGCAATGTGTTACAATTTCAGCTTATCCTGTAATATGCTATAGTGTAGTGTAGTGTGGTACAGTACAATGCAGTGTAACACAGCACAGTATACTATAGCATAGCATAGTACAATATATTACAGTACAGTATAGTACAGCACAGTAAGTATAGATAGTACAGCATGGTGCACAATATAGTGCAGTACAATACAGCATAGTATAATACGGTATACTGTGGTACAATACAATGTAGCATAATACAGTATGCCATAGTATAGTACAGTATGATAAAGTATAGTATACACTGTAGTCCAATTTGATCCAGCATACTATAACATAGTATAATATAGTACAATACAATATAGGATATTATAAAACAGTGTGGCACAGTATAGCATAGTACAGTATAACACAATACAATGTAATATTGTATAATACACTATAGTATAGTACATTTTAGTACAGGAGCACACTATAAGATATGATACATTACAGTATGTTATAGTACAGTATATTCTACTATAATATAATATTTGTACAGTGCATACAGTATATCACAGTACAGTGTAACATACAGTATACAGAGTATACCACAGTATAGAAAAGTACAACAAAGTATAGTATAGTGTAGTACAGTACAGTATAGAAAGAGCAATATAGTGCAATATAGTATAGTACAGTATGGTACAATGTAGTAAGGTACAGTGTAGTACAGTATAGCATTCAGTATAGTACTTGCAGTCCAATGTGGTATAGTATAGCACAGTACAGTCTAGCACAAAGCATAGTAGAATACAGCACTATATCAAAGTAAAGTACAGTATATACAGTGTAGTCAAATGTAGCACAATAGCATAGTATAGCACAGTATAGTACAGTGTGGTGTAATGCAGTACAATACAGTAAATATAATGCAATACAATATAGTACAGTACAGTATAGTAGAGCACAGTATACCACAATATAATAAGTAGGTACAGTACAGTAGTATTTTACAGTCTTATGCTTTTTATACCTATGTGGTATGGCATAGCTTCGATGTACTGCCATCTGTTTAAACAGTACCTTACCAATAGACTTGTAGGTGGTTTCTGGTCTTTTGTTTGTATTTAAAAAAGGCTGTTATGAACAGCAGTGTGTGTACGTGTCTGTGCACATGTGTGTGATTTCGCTATCATCCTTATTTCTGAATCAGAATTAGGACCTAAGGTCAGAAGGGCCTTGGTGAAACCTTTCTTTCCTGTTGTAAGTGCCTTGTGATGCTGTGCAGCTGGCTAAGGTCCTAGAGCTGTTGAGCACACCTAAGTGGCTCCATATGATACCCAAATTTATCTAGCCAGTCAGGCTTCAGATGGTGGACCTCAACCTCAGCTACTTCTTCTGTGGGCCATGAGCCTTAGGGCCTGTCTTCTGCCTGCAGGCCACGAGGTGGGGGGGCCTCTTCTGGCCTGCTGGTGGAAGTATATAGTGCCGCACAGATTTGCAATATCAGCAACTCTTCATCAATCTGGTGAGACCAAAGCCAACTCTCAAAACAAACATTTCCTGCGTGAACAATGTGTTTGTTATATTTTCCTCATTTGTTTATGATGGCTGTGTCAGCCACACTGATTTACATAAACACTGCCAATCTTGGGATGTTACACTCTCAACAAAAGTTGCTGAGTACAAACAGCATTCCTCAGTTTTAATTTATATTTTCTAAACATTGAAGATGTTGATAAAATGAGCCAACAAGAAAATGCTACAAAGGAGACCATTTTAAGGGGCGATTTTGATTAAAATGCATTCCAGATTGACAAAATGTTACAATATTAATAGAGTGGATCACTTAAATGTCATATTTGCCTCCTACAGAACCACAAAGCAAGCTAGACTCAAACATTTGCAGATTCCAGACCAAAAATGTGCAAGATGATATACATATGCATTTGTAATTGGACCAATTCTATTGTTCTTGTTCCTCCATCACTGATTTAATTTATTTTTGCACATGCACATGTTGTGCTGCTACTGTGTTGCAGTCGTAACCCTGGACATTGTTGTTTTAGAGGCACAAAATTCTGAGATTGTATGCTCTTTGCCCTTTCTGTGAGCTGTGTTGGTTCATGGGACAGGGTTCTCAGAGCCCAGAGCTGGAAAATAGTCTAGTCCCAATGGGCCAAATGACTAATTTGGAACCTCTCACTAATGTGATTCTGGGATCAGGAGTCCAAGAGGGTATGATTGCAAATAAGGAGACAATATTAGATAAGGATTTGATCAATTTCTTATACTTCATATTGGCTACCAGGGTACTGGCAAAATCTTGCCATTGAGACATTTAAAATCAGTTTAGAGTGAGCAGTAGGGTTAAAACTTTCCATAGTAAGAGATGATATAATCAACTTTGAATGTTAACAATGAGACTTTGATTATTATGGGTCATAGAAAGGAGTGAAATGGAAAATTGTATGCTTTCCTTTAAATAAACACTTGAATTCAAAGAAAGAGTCCTTGGAATTAGCTGTGGATGCCATAGGACCCAGAGAGACTCTGGGCTAGCGCTCCTGGGGGGTGGGAGACTCACCTAGTGCAGTTCCGGTCCCTCCTGGGCTGTCTCAGCATCCCTGCGGATTGTTTGGTCCAAGAGCCATCTGCAGCTGGATCAGAATCTCAGTGCAAACACAGTAAGTGGGAACTCAGCCAGTCTTCAGTGAGTTCAACGCCTGTTCAAGAATTCGAGAAAGGCCTCTGTTCCCTGGGGTTGCTGCCTTTACATCCCACATTCAGGCACAGCTTTTTACTGGAAGTAGGCTGCCACTTTGGGTCTTTATGTATAGATTTGAAATGGGAATACTAATATTCATTACATTAGGTTGCTTTAAAAATTAAACCATAAAACTCTTAAAACAGAGCTTATCACATATAAAAAACCCTGTAAATGGTAGCTATTATTATTGTTGTTGCATTTGTTTTTGTTTTTAGTTCATCAGTTCCATTTCTCACAAAAGGTAATTTACATTGGCTTTTGTCATCATGTAGATCAGCACAATCAGGATGTTGGACTCACTCCCAGCATACATCTGAAGTCTTTCCAACTGACAGAGGGAGTGGGGCTCAATCCAAGGCCAGAGATCATCACTTAGATAGGGAACTTTGACATGAAGAGAAGGGAAAGGGAAACAGAATTGGTTACTTCTTTGACTAATGACTCATTAAGAAGAAGGCGTGGACAGTATTTCTTTGTAGTGGTATAATATGTTAATTCTCTAGAATTTGGTATTTGATGCAATAGCAATATTTACTTCTATTTTGTAGGTGAATAAATAAAAACAAAAGAGGCTGAAGGGCTTGTCCAAGGTCACACAAATTTTGGAGACATCTTCAACGTCATGTCAAACACAGCCTTTGCCAGTCAGACTTTGTATGAATTCAAAACCATGGAGCCCGTTTTACTGTGGAGAAGAAAGAATATGGTATACAATATCCAAGTAAGTAATTTGTTAAATAGCTTTGCAGAATGTTCATAAAGGATGAATAATTCCCTGCTCACGGAAGAGTAGAGAGGAAGCAGTAAAAATGATAAAAATTATTTTTTTCTGTATTCTAATTAGGTTTTGGGTACCAATGAATTGTTATTAACTTTTTTAAAATTAAACTTTTTATTTTGAGATAATTGTATGTTCCCATGCAGTTATAAAAAATAATACAGAGAGATCTCATGTAACCTTTATCTGGTTTCCCCCAATAGTAACATCTTGAAAAATTATAGAACAATATCACAACAAGGAAATTGACATTGATACAAAGTACAGAATGTTTCCATCACTACAAAACCCTTCTATTTTCCCTTTTATAGTCATACGTACCACCCTTTTCCTATGCACCAACCTGAAAGTGGGCAATCACTAATCTGTACTTTGTTTTTGTAATTTTGACATTTCAAGAATGTTATATAGTGCTTGCTTCGGCAGCACATAAACTAAAATTAGAACAATACAGAGAAGATTAGCATGGCCCCTGCACAAGGACAATACACAAATTTGTGAAGTGTTCCATATTAAAGAGAGAGAGAGAGAGAGAGAGAGAGAGAGAGAGAGAGAGAATGTTATATAACAGGAATGTACAGGAAATGGTGTGGGACATCTGTGAATTTGCTTTTCTGGCTGAATGAGTTAACCAAAGTGGGAACATTAATTTGAACAGTTGTATTCCACATCAGGCTGAAAAACATATCATAGATTAATAGTCTTAGAGAAACAGGAAATACTAAATACTGTATCATTGCTCATAGCAGATAGAAAGTGAACTACCTAGGAAGAGACAAGAGATATCAGTAACCATGTTCTACTATGATTTAGCCCCTAGAGTCTTATCAGCTACAGAAATTCTAGGCTAGAGTGATAATGAATTTGTCCCGAGAGTGTGTAGGCGTCTTATGATCACTACTGTGGAAACATATTTGAAAATAAGCTATTCTAGATTATTTAACAGAGTATGCAGAGGGGTTGGAATTTCTACTCACAAAAGAGATTCTGAAGCCCTTGATGTTTTCTTGTGTTTCTGTATTCTCACCCCATTCTCATTCTTTACATTTAGCTTCTTTAAACTCTTTCCATTTTTTTCTGAGCTCATACAGACTGTATAAACATTTAAACCCAAAGGAACAAGATATCAAGAAAGTGGTCCCATACCTCATCTCAGATATATCTGTAAACATTTTATTAGAACAATCCACATCTAATCCCATAATGAAAAAAATAACTACGTGCACCAACTATCTTTCCTCCGTTTTCAACTACTATATCTTTCTTTTGAAATGAGATGGCTTAAGAGGTCAGCCACAGTTGAAACTGTCCATGATTAATGAGTTGAAAACAGTTGTTGAAGTCAGCTATTTCTAGTAATATATAATCTCTTTATAAGTCATGTGAAGATAAGGTTGTATTTTTTTATTTTTCAATTATAGCTTACATTCAATATTATTCTGTATTAGTTTCAAATGTACAAGATAGTGGTTAGACAGTCAGGTACTATACAGAGTGGTCCCCCAATATTTCAAGTAGCACCTGGCCCATTCACAATTATTACAATATTATTGACTATATGCCCTATGCTGTAATGTAATTCTCTGTGATTATTATTTAGCTACCAATTTGGACTTCTTTATCCCTTCACCTTTTTCACCCAGCCCCCCAAACTCCCTACCCTGTGTCAACTGTCAGTCTCTTCATTGTGTTTATGAGTTTGAGTCTGTTTCTATTCTTTTTTGATTCCACATGAAAGTGAAATCATATGACATTTGTCTTTCTCTGCCTGACTTATTTCACTTATCATAATATGTTTTAGGTCCATCCATGCTGTCACAAAAGGTGAGGTTTCATCCTTTTTTATGGCCAAGTAGTATTTCATTGTGTATATATAACACAGCTTTTTTATCCACTTGTCTATTGATGGGTACTTGAGTTGCTTCTACATCCTGGCCATTGCAAATAATGCTGCAGTAAACATGAGGGTGCACATATTCTTTTGAATTAGTGTTTTGGGTTTCTTCAGGTATATTCCCAGGAGTGGAATCACTAGGTCATAATGCAGTTCCATTTTTAATTTTTTGAGGAACCTCTGCACAGTCTCCATATTGGTTGCACCAATCTGCATTCCCACTAATGTTCACTTTTCTTCACTCTTGCCAACCTTTGTTGATTTATTGATGACAACCATTCTTACAGCTCTGAGGTGGTATCTCATTGTGGCCTTGATTTGCATTTTTTGTTGATTGGTGATGCTAAGCAAATTTCATATGTCTATTGCCTATCTGTATATATTCTTTGGAGAAGTGTCTACACAGGTCTTCTGACTCTTTAATAAATGATTTGATTTTCTGGTGTTGAGTTGTCTGAGTTTTTAATATTTTAATATTTTCTGGTGTTGAGTTGTCTGAATTGTCTGAGTAACCCCTTATTGGACGTATCATTGGCAAATATCAGTAGGTTGTCTTTTCATTTCATTGATTGTTTCCCTTGCTGTGCAAAAGCTCTGCTTTGATATTGTTCAATTTCTTTATTTTTTAATTTGTTTCCCTTGCCTGAGAAGATATGTCAGAAAAACTATTGCTTAAAGAAATGTCCAAGATTTTACTGCCTATATTTTCTTCTAGAAGGTTTATGGTTTTAATCTAACATTTAAGTCTTTTATCCATTTTGAGATTATTCTGGCTGTGTAAGGAAGTGGTCTAATAACTTTTTTTTGCATGTATCCATTCAATTTTCCCAACACCATTTATTGAATAGACTGACTTTACTCCATTGTATGTTCTTGCTTCCATTGCTATAGATTAATTAACCATATATACAGGTGTGGTTTTATTTCTGGGCTCTCTGTTCAGTTCCACTGATCTATGTGTCTGTTTTTATACCAGTATCATGTTGTTTTGAGTACTATTACAGCCTTGTAATGTAATTTGATATCAGGTAATGTAATATCTTCAACTTTGTTCTTTTTCAGGATTGCTGTGAGTATTTGGGGTCTTTCATGTTTCCATACAAATTTTTGGATTATTTTTTTCTAGTTCTTAGAGGTATGTTATTGGTATTTTGATAGGAATTGCACTGAATCTAAATATTGTTTTGGGTAGTATGGGCATTTTAATGATGTTAATTATTTCTACCCATGAGAAAAACATATGCTTCCATTTATTTATATCATCTTTAACTTTTCTTCAATGTATTATAACATTCTGAAGTTCTTTTCACATCTTTGATTGAATTTATTCCTAGGTATTTTATTTTTTGATACAATTGTAAATGAGGTTGCTTTCTTAATATCACTTACTCAGAGTTCATTCATTATTAATGTATAAAAATGCAACTGATTTCTGAATATTTATTTTGTATCCTGCTACATTAGTAAATTCATTTATCTGTTTTAGTTTTTTGGTGGAATCTTCAGAATTCTCTAGGTATAATATCATGTCATCTGTAATAAAGACAGTTTTGTCTCTGCCTTTCCCATTTGGATGCTTTTTATTTCTTTCTCTTGTCTGATTGCAGACTTCCAGTACTATGTGACTAAGACTTCCAGTACTATGTGGAATAAGAGTGGTGAAAGTGGACATCTCTGTCTAGTTCCTGCTCTTAAGAAAAACTTCTTTTTCTTTCCTTTTGGGTCTGATGTTGGCTGTAGGCTTGTCATATATGGCTTTTGTTATGTTGATGTATGTTCTCTATTACCACTTTGCTGAGAGTTTTTATCAGATATAGGTGCTGAATTTTGGCAAATGCTTTTTCTGCACTTTTTGATATTATCATATTTATTTTGTTTATGTGGTGTATTATGTTAATTGATTTTTTAAAGCACTTCTCTTCCCATGTCTTTTTTTCTAAGATATTTATTTTAGAGAAGGGAAGGGAGGGAGAAAGAGAGGGAGAGAAATATCAATGTGTGGTTGCATCTCATGCTCTCCCCACTGGGGACCTGGCTTGCAACCTAGGCATGTGCCATATACTGGGAATTGAACCAGCAACCCTTTGGTTCACAGGCCGGCATTCAGTCTACTGAGGCACACCAGCTAGGGCATGTTAATTGCTTTGAAAATACTGAACCAATTTTGTATCCTCAGAATAAATCCCACTTGATCATGGTGTATGTTTTTAATGTATTGCTGAATTAAGTTTGCAGTATTTTGTTGAGGATTTTTCATCTTTGTTCATCAGGGATATTGGCCTATAATTTTTTTCTTTGTAGTATCTTTATCTGGTTTTTGAATCAGGATAATGCTGGCTTCATAAAATGAGCTTGAGGGAGTCTTCTCTTGCATTCTTTGGAATAGTTTGAGAAAGATAGGTGTTAGTTCTTTTTTTATTGTTTGGTAAAATACATGAGTGAAGACAATAGGGTCAAGGACTTTTGTTTATTGGGAGTTCTTTTGGTTATTCTTTCAATTTTATTGGTACTAACCTGTTTCTTCAGATATTCTCTTTTCTTTTGACATAGTCTAGGAATTTATGTATTTCTTGATGATTGTCCCTTTTGTTGCCATATAATTTTCATAGTATTTTCTTTTTTTAATGTTTGTTACAATGGTCCTGCATTTTCCCCCATTGCTCTCCCTTGCTCTGTCCCCCCCGACTCCCACAGTCAATACCCCCCGTTGTCTGTACCCATGAGTGCTCTATACATGTTCCTTTGCTTGCCCCTTCCCCATCTTTCCCTATTCTCCCTCTTCCCTCGGGTCACTCTCAGTTTCTTCTTTATTTCCAAGACTCTGGTTCTATTTTGCTCATTTGTTTGTTTTGTTGTATTGGTTCCACTTATAGGTGAGATCATATGATATTTGTCTTTCACCACCTGGCTTACTTCATTAGCATAATGCTCTCCTGTTCTATCCATGCTGTTGCAAAGGTAGGAGTTCTTTCTGCTGTGTAGTATTCCACTGTGTAAATGTACCACCATTTTTTGATCCACTTATTTAATTATGACACTTAGGTTGTTTCCAGTACTTGGCTATTATAAAGAATGCTTTTATGAACATTGGGGTGCATAGTTTCTTTTGAGTTGGTGATTCAGGATTCTTAGGGTATAGTCCCAGCAGTCAGATTGCTGTGTTGAAAGGCTGTTCCATTGTTAGTTTTTTAAGGAGATTCCATACTGTTTTCACAGTGGTTGCTCCAATCTGCGTTCCCACCAGCAGTGCACTAGGGTTCCCTTTTCTTCACTTGCCAGCACTTGTTGTTTGTTGATTTGGTTCTGATGGCCATTCTGACACATGCAAAGTAGTATCTCATTGTGGTTTTAATTTGTATCTCTAATGGCTAATGATGTTGAACATCTTTTCATATATCTATGGGCCCTCTGTAGGTTTTCCTCAGAGAAGTTTCTGTTTAGGTCCTCAGCCCATTTTTTAATTGGATTGTTTGTCATCCTCATGTTGAGTTGTGTGAATTCTTTATATATTTTGGAGATCAAATCTTATCTGAAGTATCATTGGCAAATATGCTTTCCCATACAGTTAGTTCCCTTTCCATTTTGTTGGTATTTTCTTTAGCTGTGGAGAAGCTTTTTCATTT